GTGGTTCACTACCAGTCCGAGAAATGGGAGGAGCCAGTGGTTCACTACCAGTCTGTGAAGTGGGAGGAGCCAGTGGTTCACTACCAGTCCGAGAAGTGGGAGGAGCCAGTGGTTCACAGGGCTACCGTCAGGAGCGTGTGTGGGGAAGAGAAGCCAATAAACCGCACTCATTGACCTTTTCATTACAGTTACATAAAGTTCTAGACAGTGTAAAGCCATGGACAGTGGTAGCAGGTAGCAGAGTTCCTGAGGGTGGTGAGGGAAGAGAGGAGGAGGGAGCTGGTGTATTGTATGACTCTTCCTGGGGAGATGTGAACAGTCATCTAGTCACCCCAGGTAGGAAACCAACTACAGACAGTTTCATGAACCAATGAGTTTTATTGGCGTTGATTAGAGGAGTGTGGGTGAGGGGTCACTTACAGGAGCAGAAATGATTCAAAGGCAGCTGCATCAGCAAAGTCCACCCCAGCACGGGTGACAGCTCACAGAAGCTGGGAACCGGGAGCACACTGCACCGCCTGCAGACAGCTCGGCAGGTTGGAGGCTGTCCTTTCCAGGTGGCTCCGTTGGTCTGAGCCCCTTCCAGGCCGCACAGCTTGCCTGACAGTGTCTCCCAGCAGTCCTTGCTGCTTACAGAAGCTTGAGGAGGGAGGGGCCTAGTGAATGTGGTCAGTTTCAGGGACTTTCTGAGGCGAGTGAGTTGTTTAGTCCTGAGTTTCAATGAGCTTCCCTGCAGGGTGGAAGGTTCCACGTCCCCTTTGAACACCTTGTTGTTTCCTTTCCTGGGTCATAACAGCTTCACTTCAAGATGGAAGGTTTGAACCTCAGAGGAAACCGCAAGAGAGGCTGGGAAGGAGCATGAGAGAAAACTGGCGACATTATAAAAGTGCATGACAAAGTTTTGAGGGTTGTAGAAACGTATCTTGACTGTGGTATCCTCTCTGCTTGGATCTATGTACGAAGTGACCACATTTACCCTTTGAACAAACCCAATTTAATGCGCTTTAGTTATAACGAGTTATTGGGACGAACAAAGGATCTGAAGACTCCACAAAGGAAAATATGTAAGTTGGCATTGGGCACATGCAAACTTTCTCACCTTCTTCAGCCATCCACACATCAGACGCTTCTCTGCTACTGTGACAAAACACTGTGGCCAGAAGCCACTGACCGAGGGAAGGGTTTATTATGGTCCCAAGGGGATCAGAGTCCATCATGGCGGGGAGGCACAGCAGCAAATGGCCGACTTGGTGGCAGGGCAGGGAGCTGGTCCCTCCTGATTGACAAGAGGGAAGTGGAAGGAGGGAAGTGGGAATGGAAAGATTTTAATTTCCAAGTCTGCCCCCAGGGACATACTTCTTCCCCTAAAACTCAACAAACAGCACCACCAAGTGGGGGGCAAGTGTTTAAATGCCACAGACTATTGGGAGAAAGAGGGAACATTTCCCAAACTACCACGATCAGGAAGACGGAACTAAGCCTGACATGTGCTACAAGCCACAAGGATGGCAAAAATTTTAAAGTGCCAGCAAGAGTGTGATGAAAACAGAATTTTCTGGGGGAAATAAAGATAGTGAGTGTGCCCATTTTGGAAACAATTAAGCCATGTCTTACTTAAACATACATTAACTATATGATCTAATTAGACAAATCCTAGCTAGAAATACAAAGTACATGGACACAGTGTCTCATATTCAGCTATTGGTTGCATAGACACTTCAGTTTCCATCACAAACTTTATTGCCTCCTCTGGCCTCTCAGGATACTGTGTGCACACGGTGCACATACATTCACTCAAGCATGCATACATATACATAAAATAAAAATAATAATTTCTAGTTAAAAAGCAAAATCAGTAGTGTTTTGGGTATGGGAATCAGTGGAGGCATTACTTGGGGGCTGTTCCATGGACATACCAATTTGTCAATATTTATTAGCCTTAAATAATGCTGATTTTTAAAAAAATTGATTATATAACATGAACTAAAATAAAGCTGGAAAAATACAAATAACATGATATTTGTACAAAGACAGTTGAGGAGATGGATATTAAAAATAATCTAGAAACTGATTTGAGCTTTAAAGTTAATCATTTGGGTTATTTGGTATTTCAAATCAATTTGGGGGAGAAATATTTACAAATGATATTGAGTCAGTTGGCCATTCCAGTTACAAAATTAAGGCCTATATCCACTTATGGAAAAAAAAAAAGAATTTCATGTAGATTAAAGAGTCAAGTCTATTAAAAACATAATCATCTTAAATGAACAGTAGAGGCCTCCGGGTGAGTGTGTGGTGTGGCTTGGAAGAGCCATGCCTGTGCCCAGAGAGTCCCATGGGGCCACACTGTTTGGAGTCTAGTCTTGGGGAAGCCCAGGGTCCCACAGATGGGACAGGACAGGAAAGGAGTCCCCAGGCTCCTCTTCATGCCTCCAAAACTAGAGAGAACTTCAAAGCCTTCTTCCCCTTCTCTGTTCAGGCCCCCTGGGAAACGGACAGCAGTGGTGTCCTTCCTACTGGAAAGCTTGCAGAAATTCGGACCAGGCAGCACTCATCAGAGCGGCCCAGAGTGGCTGCAGACGCTTCATAAGGGGTCAGCAGTGCTGGTCCCTTCCTCCTAGGAGGAGCACTTGGTGCTCCTACAGGGGCCAGCATGGTCGTATATAATCAGTCCTTAAGACCTGCTCCCTTTACAGGTGACTTGGGAAGAGCCATGGTGGGGTGCCGTAGCCTTAGCCCCGGGGCACTGAGAGGTTGGAGCATCAGGTGAGTAGAAATCCACACAGCTGGCCAGCTCCCCTAGTCCGTGGACAGATGGACTGTGGAAGCCCTTCCTCTTCTTCTTCCCCAGGGCTGTCACCCTGTAGTCTCTGGACAGAGGTCTCCCATGAGTCACCGGCCCCAGAGGAAAGACCTGGTCTGACTGCAGATGTTCTCATTCTCTTTGTTTCCCTGGTCTCTTGGGGCCATCTGAGTTAAGCTGAATGAAGAGCAGGTGAGGCGCACAGGTGCTGGGTGTAGGGCAGAAGTCTCCATGGCAACAGAGCCATCTGGCTTTGCTGCCTGGCATTGGAGCCTTGTGACTTCACAGCGGAATCTTCTCACAGCGGGCAGGAGAGGTTGCCCGGTAAAGAGGGTGGGGGAGGGGCTTTGGCCTTCTCGCTCTAGTCTGAGGCTTAGGCTTCTTCCTGTCAGCATCTGGGGCTCCAGTCAACTCCAGAAGACTCCAAGTGGCAAGTGCTAGTGAGTGTGAGTGGCGTAGCACGTGGGCCATTCTCTGCTGAAGCCCTCTGGGGAATTGGAGGAATCACACCTGGTTTCCTTCAATCCAAGCCTAGCAGGTGAAGAGGAGCCAGGGCCCCAGGAGGAAAGACAGAAGTGTGGATCTTTCCCACCCAGAACAGCCTGTCCTGGTCAGCACCCTCTCAATGGCAGGAAGGGTAAGGCAGAGGGGGAGTCGCCACAGGGGGCTTCCATAGGAAGCACAGTAGAGCCCTCCGAGCCGCGATGAGCCATCCAGCCCACTCACACAGGTCTTCAGGTGCTCTAACAAATTGCTGTAACCCCGGTGAAATGGTGGCAGTTCACTTCCACAGTGCTGCAGGCCCGAAGCCTGATGTCACGGTGTCAACAGAGTGACTTCCTTCTTGGGGGTGCAAGGGAGAAGCTGTCCCGTGCCTTTCTTCTGGCTTCTGGTGATGCTGGTGACCTGGCGTCCCTTGGCTGTGGCACCACCGCTGCAGTTTCCACTCATGAGATCATGTATGACATGCTCCCCAAGTATCGGTGTCCGAGTTTCCCTGTCAGAGATTTCGGGCATGCCCAGTAGAACTCCACATGCTGCACCTGCCAAGGTCACACAGACAAGGGAGGCCCAGTCACAGTGCCTGCCAGGGCTCAGGGCTGGGATGCACCTTACGGGGAGCATGCACAACACACACGGAGAGAGAGTGTGGACGGGGCTCAGCCTGCTCCCCCAGCCCAGTGCAAGGACAGACCAGTCCAGATGAGGGGTAGGATCGGGAATGTCGAATGTGTGCTCTGGTCCCTCATCTCCAGGAGCTCTCGGTCCATGGACAACACTTTCCCAGGAGTTAGGCGACATTCAGGGAGTTAGGGACCTGCTCTGGTTGTACCTGTGACAAAGGAAGGGGAGACCAGAGCTGGGACCCCCTAGAGGAGTCAGGAAAACCAGGGGCCAGACCATAATAGACTTCCCATGAAGCCCAGAGTCTATACATTGGAGCAGCTTGAGGCCTCTGGAAATGGTCCCAATGAGCACTGACGGATATGGGAGACTCCAGGTCTCTGTGTGTCCCCACCCCCACCCCCCACCCGGCCAAGAAGGAATCCACCATTTTCTTTCTCTGCCTCTCCGTATGACATGACTCCTCTCCTACCAACCCTGGGTCAGCAAGAACTTAGATCCTAGTCAAGCCCTACTTGATGTTCTCATTCTCTTCCCCTCCCCCACTCACTCGCCCTCATGTGAATGGGTGTTTTTCGTGCATGCGCATCTGTGCACCACCTGCATGCCTGCCTGGTGCTTGTGGAGGCCAGAAGAGAACATTGGATCCTCTCAGAAGCAGGGTTCCAAATGACCGTGAGCCACCCAGTGGATGCTGTGCTTGAATCTAGATTCCCCCGGAAGATGGCTGTGCTCTTAGGCTCCGAGCCAGCTCTGCAGCCCCATCTGGGTTCTTCCTTCCACACCGCCCGTCCTCTTATTGCCCACCACACACCAGGGCTTTTTCTGGATCCCATGGAGACGGACATCAACTGCATAGCTGGGCCTTGCCTTGATGAGATGTGTAATTAATCCAAGATAGCCAAAAGCAATGCCGGCAAGTGCTTGGGCGGAGTAGGCACACGAAAGGAGACGTGTCCTCAGCTGGGAGGGGGTCTGTCTATAAGGTGATGAAACCAGGATGGTAGAGGAAGCACCCCTACCAGGCACCATATGCAGTCATCACCCAGGCAAAGGGATGGCTCAGGAGAGCACACTAGTGTGTGCTCAGGACCTGCTAGGAAATGCCGAGTGAAGGCCTGTGTGGACCCAGCAGACCTCAGGGGAGTCCGAGACCAGGAGGTTAGAATAAGGAACTAGACCTTGAGTTTTTTTCTTGGAAAAGTGTTGGTTGAGTGTCAGAGGCATGGACACCCCGGTGCAGAATAGGAGAAAAAACATTTCTGTGAGAACGAAGGGATAACAGTCACTATGGGGGAGGCTGGGAGCTGGGAAGACTCCTCTGAGGTGAGGGCCCCAGAAGCTCAGACAGGGTCAAGCGTGGTGTGACTGAGGGCCTGGGGGGACCAGGGTCTTCTGAGCAGAGCCAATAGGGTGAGAAGTGAGAGCTCAGGGTTTTCTGAGGGCATGGTTGGGACCACTACTGGACTTTCCCAGAAGGGAGCCCTGATCAGTTGTGGGCCCTACAAGTCCCCCAAATGTAGACAGGACTGTAGCTGGAGTTTTTTCCAGTCCTGCCTGGCCCACGGTCAGGACAAATCTCTCTCACCCACCAGTCCCGCAGCCACTTAGACCAAAACGAGTAAACACACAGAGACTTATATTGCTTACAAACTGTATGGCCATGGCAGGCTTCTTGTTATCTAGTTCTTATATATTAAATTAACCCATATCTATTAGTCTAGAAGTTGCCATGTGGCTTGTGGCTTACTGTACCTTACATCTTGCTTTTCATGGTGGTGGCTGGCAGCGTCTTTTGCCTCAGCCTTCCTCTTCCCAGAATTTTCCTCTCTCCTTGTCCTGCCTATACTTCCTGCTTGGCTACTGGCCAATCAGTGTTTCATTTATTAACCAATCAGAGCAACACATTTAACATACAGAACATGCCACAGCACTTCCCCTTTTCTTTTTTTCAAAAAGGAAGGTTTTAACTTTCACATAGTACATATAACAAAACAATTATCAAGCAAGAATTACAGTTACAATATTAAAGAAGATATCCTATTTCTCCTATATTTGTGAGTCTAAGGTTTCATATCTAACTTATCTTTTATTATAACTGAGGAACAATCTAGTCTTCAACTACATCAAAGACCTTGGAAGGATATAATACTACCTGAGAAATGGGAGAAGGATGCAAGCAACTTTTGGGAGTCTTGCAGGGTAGACAGAGACAGCTGGCAGCCTGGACAGTCACCTAATGTTCCTTTGTAAAGTTGGGGCATCTATTTTCAGCCCACAGGCCTAGAGTCTCTCAGTCATTTTTCTCTGTGTCCTGTAGAATGTCTGGCAGTTTTTTTTCTGTGAAGCAGGAACCTAAAGGATCATTTTACCAAGCAAAGTTCAGTGGTCACCTTCCTATGGGTCCTGTATGTCCAGTTGATCAAGCAGTCCAGGCAAGAACAGTTTCTTGCCCAAATGGCTATTTTTGCCAAGGCGAAGAAAAACTCCATATGGAGTGTCTTCGATGCCCATCCTCCTCTTTGAAGAAAATTGGTGCTGCCAGGAGCAGACATGTCTCATTGTCCAGAAAGTCTAAATTTTTAAAACATTTTAAATGCCATATTCTGTAGGTCTTTGAAGTGTTGGAAGATTACCTATCTATATGAAATGTATCCATGTATACCTAAAAAACTTAACTAACATGGCTACAAGTATGACTATCATAGATGACTAATTATTAATCTATTTCTTAATTATCAATTACAATTTTAAATGAGCTGTACAAACATAATACCTTAAACAAGAGTAGAAATATACACACAGTATAACAAAATTAACTTTAAATTTGTATCAGCAAACTAAAATACATAGCAATGTAAAACATTTCTAAACAAGTGGTTGCTCTTTAAAAGTAGGTTCATTAATCTACCCTTTCATCCTATTATATCTATATTATAGCCCCTTTTCTTCTTTAGAAAGAGATTGCATTTATAGAAATATTGGTTTTTCTCTGTGCCATACCAGAGGGCTCTTCTGATATGGGACACAAAAATCTCTTAACCTTTTCTTTTAGTAATATGCTTGGGTTTAGAGAAAAAGTGAGCCAATTCCATCTCCAAAGACAGCTTGGTATATTTGGGAATTTGGGTGTAGCTTCTCATAGTACTTTCTGCTGGAGGGGGGCACTGTATCTTATGGGGACACAAAGAAAATTTTAGGATTATGGAGTAGTCTGTGAGGATGTACCGTCTGAGCCAGTTGCCTTGAAACAATTCTGTATGTTGGATCATCTGGGCCATGGTGTCATCAGAGACCTTTCAGGGGGTCTTGGCTGGTCAAACCTGATGTATCTTAATCTGGAACAAATCCATAGCCTCTGGCTTTCTGTAGAAACAAAAGCAGAGCCTCCTTCCCAAAGCAACATATCCTCAGATCCAAATTTTGAAGTCAATATATCTTTAAAATATACATATTGGCATAACTCAACAGCTTTTACAATCAAATGTTTTTCTGCAGTTAAGAATCCCAAAGACAACACAATCCAGATTCTCTGTGTAATATCCATCATTACCTGGCTTACTTTTTATACTACCTTTGCTGTCTCTTTAAAGGCTTTATTTTTAAAAACTATCTATTTCTTTATATAACTGCATATATTCATTTTTCTCTCTCTTCCAAGCCTACGTACATTTTTACACACATTGTAAAGCATTTAAAGTCTTACTTCATCTGAATCTGCCTTATTGTGTAACTATTGCTTTAAACTGTAGCATTTGTAAGACAAAAATGGCCGCTGTGGCTGGTGGCTCCGCCCACCTCAGCTTCCCAACATGGCAGTGGTACGTTTTTCCACCAGCTCTGGGAGCCATCAACTCTTAGAAACACTGGGTCTATGCTTTTGTCAAAGCAGCGTATAGCCCAGAAACCTCTTTTTTTTTTTTTTTTTTTTTTTTTATCCAACACACAGCATAGTGTGCAGCTTGGAGA